ATTACGCCATCTAATGGATATTAATTCATTAAAATTTTAGATTACAATGTTAAAGAGAAATTAATTACCGAGTATGTCATATTTTAATAATTATGAAATTAATTATACACGTATTTATCTTGGTATATAATTAGAATTTATTATATTACCAACGATAGTTAATTTAAAAACATGGTTTTGATATAAAGAAAGGACGATTTAAAATCAATAAACAAGATTCCATCACTAAATATATTTTTTTACATAATTTGGTAACCAATACCTTAAATCGTCGCTTGAGTATTGGAGTGCTCTATTTGATATTTTTAAAATTTTTGAGTTTAACAATAAGATAAAAGCTGATATCTTTTGATTTTGGCTGGTTATATGTTAATACCGCAAATGTTTTGGCGCGAAATGCATTATTATGAATGCCTTGTCGCGAATTTCAATTATCCCATAAAGGTTAAATTAAAAATATTACCAAGAGAAGATATGTGATGTGCCATGAGAAGAATTCCCGAATTCTCTAGGAAGTGGAATATTCATCTAGTGAGTTTTAAACAGACTTCGAAATGCGAATTTAATATACCGAATCAATGGGCTACTTACTACCTTTTGCATCTCAAAATCGATGAAATATGGCCTTAATTTCGCAAGGAATATTCAAATTGGCTTTGATTGTTAGATGTTATACTAGTAAAAATATAGGATAGATTAATATAATTACTACATTAATTATATTTATTATTTAGATAATTCACTAAGATCTCAAAGTATGTTTTGTGTTTTGCATTAAAATTTATAACTACGAAAAAAAAATTTAAAAAAGGCGAACTTCCGGCAATATATAGGAAACCCGTCTCCACATTTTTAAATAGGGTTTCTGGTTTTTTGAAAAGGTTTTAACCTGTTAAATGAGTTAGTATATAGCAGTAGAGAGTTTAAAGAATTTTTTTAGAAAAATAAAATTATAGGGTTGTCACTCCCTGAAGGTAACAAAATTATAGTTTCCATTCGGAAATATTAAAAAATAGAAATATTGATGATCTCCTTTTATAAAGTAGAAAAAATGTACGTGTAACAAAAGATTTTATTGGCCGTATTTTAATTTTTTAAATATACCTAGGGCTCGGGCCTAATTTTTTTTATTAATACCGGCCCTAGCCTTATATATTAAAACCAAATATTTAAAATCGTCATTATTAACTATAAAAATTAAAAATAAACATAATATATTTTAAAATCCAGGCCGGGGCGAGAAATTAATTTTTAAAATTAATCTGGGCAGACCGGGCCTGAAAATATAAATCCGGGCCTGACCGTGTAAATGGTACCTCTGTAGGTCTCTGATATTAATTATATTAACAATTTCTCAAATATAAATTAAAATTTATGAATTATTGCATTCGCGATAATAATATTGCTGTAATGCATTCGCAATATTATTTTCGCGGTAATACATTTGCGATAATGCAATCGCTATAATTCACTCGCAATGTTTTCGCGGTAATGCATTCGCTATAATGGATACGCGATATTTTTTTCGCAGTAATGCATTCGCTATAATATCTGTTAACGGTAATGCATTCGCGATGATTTTCGCGGTATTGACTATAGATACCAGCTGCTATATTAATCAAGGGATTTCTAGTTCAATTTAATCTACGCCTAAACTAGCATCATTATAAACAAAATCATCTTTTTGGGTAATTGGGGTTCAAAAGGTATTAGACCTGACAGTAAGCTATTTCGACCCGGGTTCAATCCCTTGCTTGGAACAATTTTAAAAAATAAAAACAACCATGGACGCGTTAGTTTAGGAAAGATGGTAAGATTTAAACCAAAATGTTTGAGTGGATTGGGGTTAATGAGAGCTTATTTAGTCACATAATGTCTTTTCTCAATTATGTTTTTAAAAAAAATGCAATAGTTCTAAACTTATCGTGAGATAAAAAAAAATTTAATGAAAAAATTAAAACGAGTATGGTTACTAATCCGCTAAAAAAATTAACCGGGTTCGGTTCAGGGCAATATTTTTTGAACCCGCGTTTTGATTTACAACCTTGCACGAGACGGGGGAGTATTTTTGAAAAAATTAGAAGCCCTTATCATATAATTGAAATTTATCTATTGAGTTAAGAACTATTCTTAGAGGTTCCCTCCATCCCTTTTTTCTTATAAAACTCCACTTTCACTCACTCTCAAGCATATGTTTTGAGACTTTACTTATATCGATAATTTAATCTACCTCCGCCTCCCCCACCCTCACACAACATTTACGATCCACCTGGAATTGCTGAGAGAAAGAAGTCTAAAGCACATTTCTGGTAATAATATTCATCCCATAAGTCGTAATAACTTCCTGTTCTTTACATCCACAATTTCAAGATCATTTAAATTAAACAAAAAAATAACCTTTGAGGTAATACCGTTTAATTTTTAATTTATTTAAGATTTATGGCCAGTACTTTATGACGGCGAAAACTTATAATAATACTCTTTTTCGGAAAAATTTAATATAGTTTTTATATATGTATTGTTTTTATTTTACATATTTTTTATATTCTATTTTGTAATATAGTTTTATATGTGAATTTTTTAAAATAATAAAAGTTTTAACAATCTCGCACTATCTTCTTTTACCTAATCTCCATTTCCTTATCAATATTAAATTTTATTCCCCCTCCCACCTCTGAAAAAAAATTAATCTTCACATTTACTCACTCTGAACTCTTTTTCGCCCCTCTTTACCAAATATTTACCTCCTTATAGAAATTTTATTTTGCATTCCCTATATTATACCCAAAGCCCACCTTCATACTTTACACACACTTTTATTTATCCTAATATCCTTTCTCCCTTAACTGAATTTATCTATTTAATTTGACACTGAATCATAATAATGCCCCTTTTCATTCTACCCATAACCCAATTGGATATTTATATTTGACTTAATTATTGCTAGAATGACTCCCAAACTCGATAATATTGTCAAAAATATATCTTTTCAGTTATATGGATTTTTTGATCCATAATGCGTCAAAAATATAAAAAACGAACATTTTTGACGAAAAAGGGCTTTTTTTAGAACTATATATAGTATTATAAATGATACATCTAAATGTAAAGCTAAAGATTATGATTGAATTAAATTGTTATGAGAGTGTAAGATTCTAGGTAAAATGAATCAACATCAATAAATGGATTTTTACCTGTATTTATTAGATCTTTTTAATTAACGATTAGACTATTAACTACTCAAGTTGGTGTAGAGAGATATTTTTCAACAAAAAAAATGGATACTTTATATAGATGTAATTTGACTGAGGTGGATCTAGAAAATATTACAATTCTAATAATGTAAGTTTGTTTACAAAAGAGAACCCGTTTTTTAGAGATTCGAACCGAACCAGAACTAAACCGTTATTTTATCTGAACTCGATGAACCGAACCGATATTCGGTTTGGATCTCTTGTTTTACCCTTAGAATAGAACCTAAATAAATTTTTTTTTCACCCTTACTATACTATAACTGACGACAACGTTATATATATACTTTTCAAAGCTGGTATATAAAATCATTTATTCTAAAAGGAAAACTTTTATTAGCCAAAATTCATTTTTTTATATTACTGAAATTGCATTTAACCAATATTCCTGCCCATAAAAATTGGAGTTTTAATAAGTGTAGAATTTGTTTAGCTTTTTATAGAATATCAGAACCCCATCGAACGTTATTTGTTATCACCTGAATTAAGATTAAGGAATCACTTTAGAATGATAAATCTTCAACACAAATCTCTTAATATTTTTTCTGACTTCTGTGTCCAATAGTTTGATCTCAAACGAAACGTTATAGTTGAAAGTGGGAACTTTGTGTTATACAAAATACCAGTTATATTTTTATTAGCATAAAAGATATAGCGAATATTGCTAATATGGAATTGTTAATGTAGTCAATATTTCATATCTTAAGGGCATTTGGATTTAAGGTGATTTTTTATTGTCGATTAATTTTTTATTATTTCTTTTTTTTTGTTAACATTACATTTTTACAATACTATCTAATAACTTAAATTATACATTTAGATATTTTTTTGTTAAATTTATTTTGATTGATTGAATCAAGTTAAAATTTTTAGTATATAAGGAAAATTTGATTTAAAAAATAGAATGCAATAAAAATATTTAAACTATGTGTATTCTATCCAAGAACTACAAATTCTCATAAGTACTTGATGGTACAATACTCTCAACATCTATTTAGGAATAGACGGTTATGATTATTTCGCACTTCCTATAGTTAGAGGGTGGTCTATGCAATCAAATCATTTTAGACTTAAATAGCTAATTTAATATTGCGACTAAATTGTTATAATAATTCTAGAAATCATATAAAACTTAGTTAATACCCAATAATTGATTTATCTATTCCTACCTAATTTTATCAAGATAGATTAAATTATTTTTACCCTTTAAATAGCCTATGAAGTCAGTAAGCATAGTGATATTAAGTTCACAAGAAACTTATAATAATTCTTTTCCAGCCTGTAGAGTTAATTTTATGCAGTCTCCTTTTAAAAATAACCACGATTTTGTCATCACTAAATCGGAAATAACTCTTCTTGTAATTGGCATATACCGTAATATTCGCGTTAAGCTCGTAAAATTATGTTGATATAAAAAGCTATTTATTTTGGAAAATAAAATTGAAGTGCGCTATATAGCGTTTAAATAAAGCTATTTATTTTGGAAAATAAAATTGAAGTGCGCTATATAGCGTTTAAAAAAAGTTAGAATATGAGACCTCTAGTTATAGTTATAAGAACCTAATGTTCTATTCTGCCACTAATTTAAAAATATACCTAATAACAATTTTTAAGTTTTTAGCAATATTCAAAAAAAAAATAATTTTAAATGTTCAAGTTTTTATTTTTAAAAATATAATTAAACTAATTCCTACAAGTACTATGTAGTTTTCATAAAATTTATTTTGTTTTTTATATTTATCATATAAGATAATGGGGAAACGGATGGTGGCAATGGAGGACAAATAGACCTAGAAAATTTGGTATATTACAAAGACGACACCCATTATTTCGTCATGACTGCTAAAAAACATTCTCTCTTAAGCACCCGAGTCTTGAAACAGGTTTTTTTAAATTTCATTTTTTCGCTTTAAAAAACCAATTTTATTTTCATTCATCATTTTTCCAATACTGTTCCTCTCTTTGATTACCTCCAAAAAATGATTCGATATTTATAATTTTATATTTAATTCTATTCATGATAATAATTTAAGAATTATTGATTTTAATAAAGAAAAATTGATTCTCATAAAAAGATTTATAAAATCGCTCAGCTGTTAAATCAGTTCGGATCAAACCGTGAATCCCACCTATGAGGTAGGCGATTCTATATTCTGTTTAACAATTTTCTAAATAGTTCGAGGTTTTTTCGACGATAAAAAAAATTTGAATATATTTTGCTTGCTAGTGGTATGGCTTCGCTTAGCTCTTATTATTTAAGCTTTTCTAAGAACTCGCATTATTTTTTAGACGTGCTCAAAAAATAAATTTTATTTTAAAGTCGTTATAAAAATATGAATCAATTGATTTCTTACTTAGAGAGGGAAGGTTCTAGGTCCTTGAACAATTTTTCTTCTACTTATATTGTCTTTTCATTCATTTACTTTACTCCTTTATTTATTATGTTTCTCCATTCATTTATTTTGTTTTTAGCCTATATCTTATTATCATAATTGATTTTATTTAAGGTCTAGAAAATATACTTGTAAAATATAAGCATATTGTTATGTGTTTGATTCAGGATTATTCGGAACCTTCTAGGCTCCTTTCTCCGTCCAACATAGACAGGTCAGCTCTTTTATCGTATGCCTTGAGAGTTGCCCACTTTTGCACGGACGGAGTTTTACCTATCGATAGTAGGGAAGGGAGTAGAAAAGACACTTACAATTGGAAAGAAGAAGTAAAGAATGAAACGAGGAAAAATAAAGAAAGGAAAGTTTGGGCAGTCAATCATAAAGGGCAAGCCGATGTCAATGTTTTCGACTTTACAAGTATGTTCCAAGCCGAATCTAGTCTGAGAATTATTGAAAGAATGGACAAATTATTGCTCATTGGACTTGTGGGAGACGCTTTACTAGAGGTATATAAAGAAGGGATAGATGAAAAAAGGTTATCAATATTTATACTAGAATAGAAACTAATTCATAATATAAAAAAGAAAAACATTGTAATAATATGGATAATAATAGAAAAAGGGGAAATGCTATTAATCTATGAATATTATATATCAATTAATTTTAGTTTTTATTTTATTATAATTATGCAAACGCTCCATAGCCTTTTTGGCCACTAGGTACGGGTTGTCCTAGAGGGTTTTTGAGTTCAATGGATATGGCCTGGACTGTCAAACAATTCGCTTCTAACAAATATACACCTCTTCAAGTTAATCGTGTTTTCATTTTATATTTTGGAACTGAACATAAAAAGAATTTGCCACTCCTAAAATGTTATAAGAGCAATTAACATAATATAATCAATTTCCTTTAAAAACATTATCTTTTTTTTATTTTTGGTCGTCTTTCTTTTTATTTTCAGAATTTACTTCATTATCATTTTTTTTTCCTTCTGGTATTTGTGTTAAAAAAATTTATAACTTAAATTTGTTGATGATTTCACCTAAAAAGTTATTGGCTGAACGGGAAAGCGTATACAAATTACTTAGTCAGACATCTCCCGAAAATACATGCAAGAACCTAGCACTATACTCTATTCACCCCAAAACCAGATATACCAATTTGGACCTGAATTTAGTCAAGCCTTTTCAAGTAAAGTATAAAACTTAATTTAAAAAAATATATATTTCTTATATTTCAAAAAATATATTAATCCTCTAAATAATTAGTTCTTAAAATGAAATCCTATTTTTGATCATATCAATATTATGTTTTTTTTTAAAAAACAATTATCAATAAAAGGAATTGCCAATTAAAGTTTATAAATTAAACGCTTTAGGTTCATATTGAGTTAAGGCAAACTATCTTGACCACATATTTGATTTTAGATATGTTTTTATGTATGTTTTCTTTTTTTTAAAAAAATGACTCGTGGATCCAAATGGGATTATAAACACCACAATAATTAAGGGAATTAAAAATAAGCAATCTTATTTTATTTTTATTTTTATTTGAATTTTTGTTTTAAATATTAAAAATGCTTTAAAGGATATTGATTTTTATATTAGGTGAGACATTTATACGACACTGAAAGCCAGAACGGGAATGCCGAAGATAAGATTATTCAAATCATTCCCAAGAAATTCCGAAAATCTGGTAAACGTTTTTCTTTTATAAATAGAAATATTTATAGGAATGTATAAGATAACGAATAGAATAATCTTTTTAAAAAAAGTTTGGTCCCCCTCCTTGCTTCTGTCCAAAAACTGATTTAAAATGTTTTTACCTCAAAATCTCGTTTGAGACTTCAAAAGAAAATTATAACAAAGGCCTCGATTATAGTAAACGCGTTATGTTCAAGCGTTGCGTTATTACAAAATTAAGCCAATAAATAGGAATGAATTTATAAATATAGAGCGTTATTATGATGACGCAATGATAAAATTTGAAAAACATATGTTGCGATACGTTGATAAAATGTATGCGATACTAATAACGAATTCGATGAAAAGGTATTTGATTTTTCTTAAATATAATTCTTTATTATAGCTTTATCATAAATTAGTTTTTAAAACTGAATCAGCTTTTAACGCAACGTTTGAAGATATAGCATTTACTATAAATGCAGCATAAGACAAAAAATATCCTTCAAGAATCGATAACTAATATAATGACTAATTATTGGGATGCTTTTGCAGTTATTTTCCGGTATCGGGCCAATATAACCGTTCCCTGGCATCGATACTTGAATTTGAGATTTTTTTTCGCTTTTGGGATTATGATCAGTTTAAAATTTTATTTCTTAATAGAGGGACGAAAAGCAACAAAAAAAGTAAGTTTTAATTAACTTATAAGTTTGAAAAATAAATTTTTTTTATTAAATTTAAAAATAAGTATGAAAATACTAACAATGATTAAATAAATTGATGGAAAAGAGCAGCAAAAAATTTATTGGGTTGAACTAGCACATGGTATCTGCAAATAATAAAAATATGTTGTAAACGAATGAACTTTTTTTGAAAAAAATGATGAATGACGTTCCTTTTATTTTTGGCGAACTTTGAACGTGAACTCGTTTCTTTTTTCTGATGAACGGGTTCGATTTTTACGTTCGTCCAATTTAAAAATTTTTTTTTTTATTTGAAAATAAAAAATATTAATTTAATATATCCAAATTTTTTAATAAAAAAGGGTTATTTTTTAATCTGCTGTTTCCTTTATCACATATAAAATTTTTTAACCAGCCGCTATTTCTGTCTTATAAGTATAGTTTATAAACTTGAATATTATTATTTATAAATTAGCGTAAGCACGGATGTTGTTATTTTCTGAATTAACATTACCATGGTCTAAATATAATAAATAATAATAATACATCATATATTCAATAAACTAATTCCATCTTTCCCAAATGTAAAACATGTCCGATAAGTATAATATCGGTGTCAAAATTTTCAAGTTCTAATTTAAAGAGATACCTGATTGTAATATTTATTATTTTCTAATAATTTATTTTAGATTGTTGTATTTCATAGGCTTGTTAAATTATGATGATTATTATTAGATACGTTAAGTAAAAATCATTAAATATATATTATATACATGGCTATAAAATAGTTAGCATCTTTTAGAATTTATTTATTTTTAATGTTGACTATTTGAAATTTCGTTATTATTTTTAAGTATTTATTATTTACCAAGGGTTTTATATTTTAATAGTTGAACTCAATTTAAAGTATTATAAATTTTTATATTTTATAAATAATTAAATTTTATTAGTGCTGTAAACATTTTTATAAAAATCGAACGCGTTCAACGTTCATTGACAAAAATCGAACACGTTCACGTTCAAATTAAAAAAAAGGAACGCGTTCAAGTTTATGAACGCGTTCATATATTCAAAATTTTATGATAAATTTTTTTTTAAATTTAATTTGATATAAATAAATGCCTTATATTTTTCAACACAATATATTAGCCATGATAAAAAATAATAGTTTTATTTTGATAATATAATTATAAATACAATATAATAGAGCGATAAAAAAAGAAATTTATAAAAAAAATTTCTTATTAATTTTTAATAATAATTGCTTTTCAAAATTTTCATCTGATAGGCATGAATGCTTGTCAGTTAATACAGCGTTAGCTATACTAAAAACTCTCTCAACAGGGGCAGATGAAGGGATTGCGGGGTTACACTTGATAAACAATTCTTTTAAAAGGGGGAATTTATTAAAAACATTTAATGTTTTATCCATTGTTTCAAAAAATTGAGCTATGTTATCATCTTCCAATCTGCCTTCTTCTTCCTCGTCAAAAAAAAGGATATCTCGGAATTGATTTTAAAACAGTGAAATATTTTTGATATTTGAGCCATGGTAATTCTAATTCATCTAATATTGAATTTTGATTTTCAGAATCTGATGATGAAATATTTATATCCATGCAAATGCTAATCTATTAAATTAAAATATAAAATATTCAAATTAATAAACTTTAATCTTATCTTCTCTAGCAGTAGCACTATGGTACGTTAATTGCAATATGAAAGAGGAAAAAGTAAAAACAGCTGATTAAAAAATATAAGACTTTTTTGTTAAAAAATGCGTAATTTTTCAAATAAATAAAAATAAAAAGTGTTTTTAAAATTGAACAAACGTAAAATTGAACAAACGTAAAATTGAACGCGTTCATCAAAGAAAAGGAACGCGTTCACGTTCAAAGTTCGTCAAAAAAAAGGAACGCCGTTCATCACCTTTTTTCAAAAAAACGAACTTCGTTCACGAACGCGTTCTGAACGCGTTCGTTTACAACACTAAATTTTATATACATATAAAAGTTTTTATATATTAAAAATTAATAAGAATTATTTTTTTAATTTAATAAAATATTTATTAATTTTAATGGCTAATATATTGTGTTAAAACAATATAAGTTATTTATTATATTAAATCAAATACTAAATGAAATAAAAAAAAATTTTCATAAAGTTTTGAACAAACGTGAACGCCTTCCTTTTTTTGAAGTTTGAACATGAACGCGTTCGATTTTTGTCGATGAACGGTGAACACGAAAGCATGATTTTTTTTAAATATTCAACACTAAATATTATTGATACTTCGTTAGGCGTTGTTTAATTAATAAAAAGCAATTTAAAAAAAAATTATTATTTATTAAAAAAAATTTTTTAATAGATTTTTGTTTAATGTATTATATTAACTAGATGGTAAAATGAATGATCTTTACGCGTCAAACGACCATTACGACATTGATAAAGAGAACAATCCTCCTATCTACGAAGAGGATGATTATAGGTTTTTTTTATAATAGTTTGCTTTATTGCGCATCTTTTTTTAAAAAATATCTTTAATATTATTAGTAAAAAATTGTTTTCTTTTATAAACTTAAGAAAAATTTGCCCTTTTTAAATATTTGCTTTAATATACTACACACTTTTAACGTAAGTTAGTTTAAAATAAAATCTTAATCCCATTTTTTGATATTCTCATTTGAATATAATTATAGTGAAATATTAAATGATGAAGTATAGGTGTCGAAAGCGGTTGAATATTAATGAATAGCCATTGTATTTAATCTTTCGTTGAATACAATTTGGGATGTAAAAATTCCTCATTAAAACCATGACAAGAAATATTTTTTTAGACGTAAAAATTGCGAAAAAAAAGCCACAATTTCCCAAATTTTTAATTGTGAGTACATGATGCTGGTCTGTCATATAAAACATATGGATAAATATTTAAGCGCGCAATTGCCGCACCATGACTGAATCAATAAAACTGGTACAAATGTTGATAAAAATACCTTATTTTCTATTAATAATTTTGTAATATTTATTTTATGTTTTATGTATTTTTATATTTAAATTTAACATTATATCCAGAATTTTTAAAAAGTTTAAAGGCACGTTTTCTAAGAATGCTATATTAGTTAAATCAATGGAAAACAACCCTACGTCTTTCCTTATTGAAAATATGACAAGTACATTTTTAAAAAGTCTCCTGTTATATAAATTAAATTAAAAAAATTGTGCTACTTCAAAAAATAGCAATTTGGGTACCTTTTTTTAAAAAGTAGCCGTAGCGCACTATAAAGTAGCGTTTAACAGCAATGGTAACTTGCCCTATTACAGTCAATGAATGACTAATAGATAGCGTCACCTTTAAGTTGGGATACATATAAAAAACATCCATTTCATATCTTTGATGGCCTAAAAATGGACAGATATTTATTACTACTGCAAGCAAAACACTCTAAAAAACAAAGGGAAATAGCTCCACTATCAAAACTAAAATAAGTTTCACAATTCCCATTTATCTATAATACCCCCACTCCACTGCATTCAACATAGCCTTATGCTTTAAGGTACATAGGTAGTAATTGCAAAAATCTCTGACATTTATTAGATGGTTATATAATATTATGCAATCCGGAACAATTATTATGCTGATAGCATACCACCCAGATTCAGCCCTGAACAAACGATCTAACACTAAGAATACGCTAGCCTCTCACCTTGGTTTAATATCATAAAAACCACGAATATTCCCTCCAGCCAATTGTAGACAGGATGGATGCTATATATATTGCTATATTATATTTACGTGCAAAATAGTGATTAGTGCCTCTTCATTTTAAAACTTTAAAACGAATTTATCTGAGACAACTCTGATATTTTATTTATTCCATTTTAATGCGAATTTTTACATCCAAAACTTAATTATGTAAGGCAACTTTATAGGACATTACTTGATTTATGTGAAAATTTGCGTGATTCATTTTTGCTATATTAATTATCAGAGACCTGCAGGCCCGGCCCTAAGCTCGGATTTAAAAGATACCCGAGCCGGGCTTAAAATTTTTAATTTTTATAGTTAATAATGGCGATTTAAAATATTTGATTTTAAAAAATCATTATTAACTATAAAAATTAAAAATAAATGTAATATATTTTAAAAAAATCTGGGCCGGTTCGAAAAAAATCCGGGCCATGCAAAGGTCTCTGATAATGATATTAGTTTATGATAATTTTATTTGTAATAATGAAAATATTAAAAATGTTTTGTTCTTTGAGTTATTGACTCTTAAAAGCTTTCGGCACCCATAATTTATCAAGCAGGGTATATATCTTTTTTTAAAAATTAAAACATAAGATGTAAAATATTCTCTAGATATAATAAACTATTTTTTATTGTGTAGTGGGTGCACTTTGCGACGTACCCATCTTAGGGACCTATCTCCATTTACCAATAAGGTTGTGAGACCTATCTCTTTGAACATATTGCCTTCAACGAATTTTGGTTCAATTGAAACGAATTGTGGTGTGATTGATGATTTAAAAAAGAAGAAAGGTAAAGATGATAATTGGAAAGGGAAAAAAAGGAATGAAGATTCTTCAGTTAAACCTCTGTTCTATTCACCTCAACATGCAACTCTGTCCTTGGTTGAAAGAGTATGTTTTATATTCAATCTAATATATTCTTTTTATTATATTAAATTTTTTTTTAAAGCTTACTTCTATGAAATACTTTTAAATTGATATAAAGTTTTAAAATATGGGATTAATTTTTAATACCGTGATCCAGTTCAGCAGGGGCATATAGTAGCGAGGGAGGGGGCAGTCCCCCCTTGTAGCAAAAAATGCTGATAAATTATTTTTGATTCCTTATTTTTTCAGAAGATTTGAGCCTTCCACATGCATTCTATAATTTTGTACATTTTAATTACTCCATAGTGAATCAAGATTCCTTGAGTTTAATAGTGCAGAAGGACTATTTATGATGGCAATTAAACAAAGTGTGGCAGGTACACTTGATGTGCCTTACTAATATTATTTTGTTTATTTCATTTAAAGATAAACATTTTAAAAAAATCTATACTAACCATCATTATTTCATTAATAGATCATCCTCATCCTAAAAGTCATTGTTAAGATCATTTAATTTTACACTATATTCAATAAATGACTTGACAAAATTGGATACAATATGTAGCAATTAGTTTATCAGAAATTCCATACTCTCTAAGGACTTTTCCAATAACTAATTTTATCTATCAAATGAATGTGTTCCAAGCATTCATCTACATGCCAAGTATCTTGTCTTGATTGCCTTTCAAGGTTTTATCGTGTTTTTTAAAAATAATATAATACCCAGTTAGCTGATATTCTCATAAAACTACTGGTTTTTGTAGACCACAAATCTGCCGAAGTGCAGATATTTGATTGTGCCTTTAAGATATCTTTTATAGTATTTACTTGACTCTCAGAAATTTCCCCTATTCTTCTCTCTAAAGACCTCCTTAAAAATATTTCAAATGATCCAACATTACTAAGAATATCTAGAATATCTTATCAATATTTATCTATATATAAAAATTATATGACTATACATCAATGTAATTAATTCAGGCTGCTCAAATAGGCTCGGTGTAAACCCTTGACAATAAATGTACATATCAACTTATCAATTTTATTTTGTATAATTAATAGTTTTATTTTATTAATGGCATTAAATGACGCTGATATACTAAATTGAATAATTTTTTATGGTGGTGGAGTTTTCTGGGTTTCTTCTATGCTCTTTTAGATATAACATATACTGGTATAAATGTCTAAATGACATCTCTAATTTAAAAAATAAATATATAATTATATTGTAAGATAAAATTATCATATAAATAATAAAATTTAATAAGTTTAACAAAATTTGTAGAGGAGTTTGTTGAACCCTTTATCATTTCTTATTTTGTACAGGTTTGACATTCAGCCAGTACATTGTCTTTTTTGACTTGAATTATTTTAAAACAATTTCCATCTAAAATTTTAAGATTGGGATGTTGTTATTTTTTATCAGAGGGCCGGGTATTTTAATTTTTTCGGGTCGGGCCGGGGCCATTATTAGCTATAAAAATCAAAAATAAATATAATATATTTTAAAAAAGTCGGGTCAAGCCAAGCTTGAAAATATAAAACCCGGGCCGGAAGAAATTTTTGAAAAAAACCCGGGCCGTGCAAATGGTACCTCTGCAGGTCTCTGTTTTTTATCTATCTATCTTGATGTTAGTTATAAATTTTTCATAATTTTGGTTGTCAATATATTTAAAATATGGCGGTAAAAAAATATGTAAATTAATACAAGATTCGTAATAAAATAAGGTTATATTCTGTTCTTTTCAGAATGAAGGATTTTAGATACAGATACAAGTATCTTATTAAAAAAGTCGATAAGATACTGAGTAAAAGATACAAAAGGATCTTGTATTTTAGATAAAAGTATTCGCGGTACTGCCCAACTCTGCCTTTAGGTATCCCAATTGTCTATCAACACAAATTTATTTTTTATTTTTCACATATTTTTTTAATGTCAAAAAATAAAGTTGAACAAATTAAGGCAATCTAGCACCCCGAACTCTGTAACATCCAGCAAAAATTCCCAATGCCATTTTTGCTCGCAAACAATATATATGCTCGATATATATAGGTTAGAAGGAATTTCTTTGCACAAAGATTGCATGAAATGTCAGCTATGCCAGAAAGCGCTCAATCTCAGGAATTACAAAACATCTATAGGTTTGTAAAAATAATGTTAAATGATACCCTGGCAATGGCCTGTAATAAGAGGACCGAACATTAAAATTGATGGAGGGTGGGGGCAATCTAATAGGTTTTTCTTCCTCCTTAGAAAGATCCTTCTAACGCCTAAAACTAAACTATTCGCCGGAATAAAGATTTAGATTTATATAGGTAATTTTGTCATAATCTATTTAATTTAATAAAATATTTCAAAATTTTAAATAAGGATATAGAGTAGACAGGTTCCAATATTCGACTGACGATATCATATATAATTACTTCTTCTTTCTTTTTTTTTTACAGATTCTAACGCTAAAGTCATATTCGCTTGTCGCGATAAGTGTCGCAAACTATCCAGAAAAATATCCAGCAACGAAAATATATTTGTGGGGGATATTTGTCGAGACTATTTTTCTAGAAATGAGGATTTATCTAGTGACGTTTTTTCGTCTGGTGTTTGTAAAAACTTAAAAGAAAGGATCTACAATACTCAGGGCTTAGTCAACGAGACTAAAGATAAATGGGAACATCTTCTCAGTTCACCTAACGCTTTCGTCGATGCGAAAAAAGGTTTACGAAATATTTTTTTACAGTATTGTCTTTCTTTCTTTTTTTAAATGTTTATTCCTTTTATTTCTTCAAATTTTATTTTTGTTAAATTATGCTAAAAGTTATAGAATAACATTTTATTTATTTTTTAACTATATTTTTTTCAATGTAAAGTTGCTTCATTCATTTGGAAATTATTAAACTTAATAAAATGTAAATTTAACAAATATTTAGATCAATAGTTTTCGTGTTAGTGATTGGTTTAGGATATCGATTCTAAAAACAATAAATAACAGTTTAAAACTTTATATTACCACTCATTGAAAATGTGATTATTATTACAACTTTTTAATTTTAGCCCAAGAAAAAATCAAAGGACCTTATAATGATATTTTTGATGATGATTTATATCAAAATGACACCAAATTCCAACACTACTCTTTATACAATGATTTAGGTAATGACCAAAATATTTCATCAAAGACCATAGAAAACAATGCAAAATACGCTACAATTTGCGAAAATAATAAAAATTATGACAAGATTTACCAAGATATCACATTCAAAAATGAAGAAGCCGGCAGGGAAATCAGTGATTTAGCTCAAATTTTAAGTCTTTCTTATCAAATTAATAACGAAAATCCCGAAAATTCTAGTAGTGAAATTGTCAATAAACGTTATTCCATGAGACGCAGTTTATTAAAAAAGAGGGCGCTATTGTGTCTTAATCGGAAATTTAGTAGTTACAACCACATCCGTCCTCATACGAATGTTTACTCTTGTAATGTGAATATAAATAAATGCAAGGATAAAATTTTGATAGATAAGACAATTTATGAAAAAACTGAGAACGAAAGTGCAGGATATTGTAAAGGTAAAAAGGTTAAATTTTGCAACGAAGTCATAAACGACACCAACAGTTATGAGAGTTCTGAAAGTTTAAGTGATCATCATTTTAAATGTAAAAAAACTTATCGACACGACATCAGATCTAAAAAACAAAAGCTAAGAAAGACTAAATCTAAATCACCCCTTAAGCAGACTTTTGGGTGTTCCAAATCATACTGTCCTGATACATATAGTAATGATAACTGTATTCCTGTGTTTGGTACCCAAAATGAACCCCATACATTACCAACCCTTCTAAAAGATTCTAAATTACACGCTAGAACACCAACACAAGATGTACCTAGTACCATTTTTACCAATTTTAATTACGAACCACACAGTAATATTTCCGATTTGCACGTGGATGATGATTTAGTTACAGAAATTTTAAACTCCAATAGCGCATACAAATACTCTCCGAGAGAGGATGGAACTTGCAAATACAAATCAACCAGGGCTAAAATGCTTCAACCTAATAACATTATGCTAAACACCTTACCATTAGCTACTCTGGCAAATACAGACTCCACCATTCCTGTTCATAAATCAGATGGGAATCATTTTTTTACTACATTATCAACTGGCGAAATAAGTGAGATTAAGGTTGAATGTTCCACTAGTTTAGTGAAATCCTTAAAATCAACCCATGACGTCACCATTTCGAAAAGTGGGCCCAATAATATGAATGCCAACCATTCGAATGGTCACTTTATTACGAGTCCTATAAAAGTTTTAAATACTAAATTATGGTTGCCGTCGGATCATTATCTGCCACCTGAGTCCTTTATTTCCCTATCCGTCCATGAAAACAACTTTCAGGAATGCGAGCGGGATTTGATTGAGGTCCGGACTGTGTTTAACGAATTTCTTGACAAGATACAATGTTTTTCGAAGATTGAAAACGAAAGTAAATCCTTATTAAATACACTACATTTTATGGGATTAATCATATTCAGTTAAATAAACTATTCTCAAACGCTATTTATTTTAGCATGAACCTTTCGGCGGTAATTTATCGAAGAATATTTGAGATTGATAATATCATTGCTGCTAAAAAAATTTTTGGATTTAAACCCAGCCATGGCCAAAATTTTTATTTATTCTTAAGCCCGGCCTAAATGCTCATTTTTTTAAAAAAAATTTGGATTCGAGCATTGGGCCGATTTAGAGGCATACAGATGCCTATTCGTTTTATTCTACAAACTGAAATCGGTCGGACATGAACATTTTAACTACTTTCTTTCCAAGGAAAACACCATTTTTTAATATTTTCTTAAATTTTTTGAAAATTCATATTTTATTTCGGATTGGATATTGTTCGGATGCAGGGTGTGGAAATAAAAATAAATTGGTTATTCTTTTAGATTAATTTTTAAACATAATAATTTGAAAAAATAAGTCTTATTTTTATGCAGGGCTCCAATATATAAGTTTAGATGATATACTGGATATGCCAATTTCTGACATTTAAAAATCATCAATTATGACCTTACAGATCAGTTAACTATTCCATTCATCGATGACGTGATTCCCGATGGCATAACGAAAGATTCGAATCATAATCACGCGATTCAGACTCCATCCCTGGAAAGTGATGCTACAAAGGTTCTCATTGAAGTTCTCGAATATGTTTGGCGCAATAATATGGATTCCTTTATAGGTAACATTATTAATTTTGTAATTAGGTTAAAGCGCTTGGCACAAGACTTTCTGCATTTTTTCAAGATGGCGCTCAAATTCTTTATTCATTTTTATGTCCGAACCCGGCACATTTTTTCTACATAAGTTAATTGTTTTTAAATATATATAACAGATCTCTCCAAATCTGCCTCACCATTTAACCTCCCACTGATTCCTTATGAAATCAGCATAAATCCTTTGTGCCAGAGTCTTACTCTCAAAGTGCAGAAAAGAGCCATCGAATTAGAGTGCCTCAACAGACATAAATTAAAAATGGCTGCCAATCTGGCAAGGGATAATAACGATACTTTACACGAGTAAATATTAAAAATAGAGACATTCATTTTAAAAAAAATATTTATCTTAATATTGTAAAAAAATGGGAGAGAATAAAAATTTGTTTATTATATATATATAAATACTCTATATAATAAACTATTTTTTGTTAGAATGTATGTAAGTGATAAAAATTTAAGCCTAGTTTAGGGGTAAAAATCACTATTAATATAATATTATGATTCTCTTACTATTATGAGACGGATTAATAATTGAGATAATATATAATCGTTTTTTACATTATAAAATATTTAATTACATAAATAAAATATTTTAATAGATTACCATGTCATTGTTTTCTCTTTTTTTCCTCACAATTTACTTAGATATGGGGGAATAATATTGGAATGCTGCAAAGGATTTGTTAAGAGAGAAATCAGGATTTTACTGGCATCCGTTGAAGGTTTTTTTTATACTATTGATAGAATATTTTCTTTTTTAAAACTATTTTAATATCAAATTATTTTCAACTCTAAAGCTTTTAATAATTTTCAAAAATCTTAAATGCCACATATTTAAAAAGCGAGAAAATTAGAAAACCAAATAGAAGCTATGGACGTTGCTTTAAAATTGAATGTTGTTACATTTCGTTATACTTTTTGCTTTACTTGTTTTGAAAATTAACGCCTTTATATTGATTTTAAAAATAATTTAAACTATTTTAACGGTGATAACTTTTTTCAAAGTTTTTAAGATCGTTTATTTCGCAGTGCCTCTTTTGCTGTCTGAACCGTCTAATATATGCTGAGGATGATGGCAGGGGGTAGTTTATATTTTGTAAATTTGGTTTTAATGTTTAGATTGTAAGGTTTTATTTTCTAAAAATATATTTTTTTTCACTAGAAAAATGTTGATAATTCCTCATCCGTTGTATCAGACATATCTTCATCCGAATAAGGTGTCTTTATTTGTTTTTTAATATCTTTCCTGAAAAAAAAAGAAACCATGTACTGCTTCTTTTATTCGTTTGACCCTTAAGATAATGGTAAAGATGATTTACATAATATTATTCTTACTAGAACTACTCTCAAATATAATGGAAGTCATCCAATATAGACCAATAAAATTAACAACTGAAAGAAAAACTAAATGAGATATCCTTATGATTTGTGCTAAAAACTCAGTTTTACTTTAAAATAACGAGTAATGTAAAACGTAACTATTTACTTTAATACGTTTATCTTTACATAGCGCAGTTACCTGATTATTTTTTGAAAAGGTAACACTTACCGTTAGTATTTACTTTTGTAACGCAATTTTAACACTTCATGAAAGTGATTAAATCAAACACTAATATGTAGGGATAAGAGAAATCTATTTTACTAAACATATTATTTAATATTTTTTAACTTTTTCGAAGCCCATTTCTTTCACAACATTTAGCTAATAAAATTTTTGGGCAGTAAATTAATCAAAATGGACGGTATTTTAAATTATCAAAATAATCTTTTGGACTAAATTTATCAAGATAGGCAGTATTTTTATTATCAGAAAAATAAATAAATATTTAATTAAAACTTGAATGATACTTACAACATGAGCCTTTTTGAGTATTTATTCAAATATCTTTTTTATCAAGTATATAATATGAATACAAATATAAAAAATTAGTGAATTAGCAAATAAAATATCAAAAATGAGATCCCTTATGGAATTGCAGTTTATATTTAACATTGTGTCATTGAGCAAATCCAAAAAATGGAAAATAATTTATAAATGTTTATATAAATAATTACATGCTACTGTACAAGAGTCTTAAAAGGCAGCATCTTCAGAATTTGATAATAACTATATTTTAGTAAGCTATTCTTCCAATTTGCCTAAACTTTAATAAATTTTTAATTGATCTATTGAAGGTATTATTAAAAAAATTGTGAATTTTTCCAATCATTTAGGTTTGATGAGGCCATTATAAAGTTTCTATCTGTAATTTTACATCATAAGGCATTTCGAGAATTTTAGTTTTAATAAGTTCATTAGTATAATAAGATGTGTTTAATGGTACATATTATCATCATTAAAATTATTAAAAAAATAAATTCTTGCTGCACATTGTTATCCTCCTTTTTTAAAAAATACTAAACTGCATCTAAGGTAAATTTTCTTACAGTTTCATGTATCATTTGTATATGATTGTTCCCAGGAATTACTATTTAGATATTGTTGTAATTCAGAATGTATAAAGTGTTTCTTTAAACCAGGTATATACTTAATTTTTTACTTTTCCATCCTTACTATTACCAGATTCTTCATAATAATCAGATGAATCTGAACAATATTCCTCAATTGATTTCAATACAGTCGAGTTAATTAAATCCATTTTTAAAGTTAGTGTTCAAAAAAATTAACCCCTCAATGGGCCTATTCAAAAACGAATACGAATCAAATAATGCATTATTCATATTCGATTCGTTAACGAATGGAAAAATTTACTATTTAAATTCGAATAATTCGTTTTAAAAATATTAAATAATTCATGCGAAAAGATATTGACAGAATTTTTAATATTTTATCAGGGGCGTCACTAGTCTACGATCTAATGGGCTCAAAAAATTTATTAAAATTATTTTCAAAATTACCTCTTTTTTTAGCTAACATTATCCAAAATTACTTTTTTTTCTTAGTTATTATTATCTAAAATTACCTATGTTTTTTTAGCTTAAAGTGGTATTAAAAAAAATCAAAATTTTTAGGGGGCTCCCCTCCACTAATGATGTTACTGTATTTTTTTATTGCATACCTAATTTTAAACAACAAATTATCATAATAATCTGATAATAAAGAATTAGCGAAATTAAAATGCATGGCATGTTAATTAAATTTATAATGCCAAACCTTTTTAAGGCAAAAGATTTTCTTATTGTTGCTTCTTTATAAGACATGAGATTTATGCTAGCAAATTAGTTCTAACTATAGTTTATTTATAAATGTTAATCACATTACACATTAGATTGTTAGGAATAAAATTACAAATGATTATGCTTTATTAAAAAACATATTTTATTATTCATAACAAATATTCGATCAAATAATTCGATTCGAAAGTCGGATTATTATATTAAATTTACTATTCGTATTCGTTACTATACGATTCGAAAGTCGGATTATTATATTAAATTTACTATTCGTATTCGTTACTATACGATTCGAAGTATTCAAAGGGAATCTAATATTCGATTCGTTTTTAAAGGTATGTTCCCCAAGTATATATTAAAACTAGAAAATTATTTAACAAACCAACAATTTAAAATACGTCAAATCATACCCAAATTAATAAAACGTTAAAATTAATTATTAACTACCCAAAAATTTAAAATACCTATCAAATGTTTTTCCTAAGCTAATTAAAATACTGCCCATTTTGATTAATTTGACTGTCCATTTCTTATCAAAAAAAACTGCCCAAATAATTTGCCATCTTTATTTATTCCATTTCTTTCAAATAAATTACATTTATTATTTTATATTTTTAGATGATAAGAAATCTTTAAAACAAGTGATTGAACTCAAATTATTGACGAACATCCTGTTAGAAATCAATGAACAAACCGAAAATGTGAAAAAAAGCATACAAAATGAAACACCCAAAATTCAATAGAGAATAATAGAAAGTGTGAGGTTGGTTTAAAAATAACATATCATGGACCTAAAACACAGGCCATTTTGGCATTCCGTTCCGGTCAAAATAATTGTTCCGTTCCAGTCTTCGGAACGTTCTTAGTTTAAATCTACACATTTTAATTAATCTTTATTTAATTATTAAATGAACCAATTATTACATCGAAGCTTCTAAAAGGTTATTATTTATATTGGTTCTCTATGGTGTTAGTTTTAATTTGAGTGCCGAAAAACAACGTATAACACTTACCTGGCTATGGATGATATTTTATTATTAGCATTAAATTAAAAAAAAGCAGTTAAATAAATTTTCCAAATTTGATAATGTTTCCCCTCTTCTTAATTTTTTAATCTACTACTTGTTTGCTAATTGTTACCACTTTGTTACTATTGTATAGTTTAATATGATTAATGATTATTTATTATTATTTTAAAAAAATTATATAAAAAAATAAAAAGAACTTATTAAATATGCAACTTCTTTTTTTTTTTAAATATTCGACTTTTTTATTATTTTTAAAAAAAATATTATAAAATAAATTATATAATTTACAGAGGATTAAAAAATATATATTAAAATGTATAAAAAAAATATATATATATTTTAAAAAAAGGTGGGTATATATCATCCAAGAGAAGAGTGAATGCTTAAAAAATTAGACCGGCAAATTTCCAGGGAAATCTGCTGGCGAAGGTAAAATCCTTCATTGGGGTCCCCTGAGATCTGTCTCATTTTTTTCCCTATGATTTTGATGAAATTGAGGGCCTTTTCCAAACATGCCTTGGGTATTGGTAACGATAGGAATGAACAAAGTGTTGGCGAGGCCAGCGTATTTATTTTTTTTAAGGATTTCTGCCTTTTCGATAGCAGAAAATTAGAGGTTAATATGCAACTTATAGATAAATTAAATTTTTTTTATTTAATTAATAGAAATAAATAAGAATTTTGTATATATTTTTAGGAAAGTTCCGGGAAGTTTCGGTTCCGTTATTTACTCAAAGTTCCGTTCCATGTTTCTGCATTAATTAATATTTATCATATTGTTAAGTATGACGGAATGTTACAGCGGGCAAAAATATATTTTACTAAATTTTGAAAGTTGTTAATCTGAAAAGGGAAAGAAAAACTAAGTTAAAAATTGTTTGAATTTAAAAATTCTGATTTTCAAGTGTATAATGAATTTCTTCTTTTGTATTTATCATTTCCAGATATAAATGGAATAAACTGACATTTTCAAGCTGCCTACCGCATATGGAAAAAAATAATCTCATATAATTGTAATATTTATTATTCTGCATTTCATTTTTATACAATTCTACATTAAAATTATCGATAGTTTTATTTTTTCATATTCCTAGGGATCAATCATGTCAAAAAAAATTATTTTATTTAATATACGGCATTTATTTATTGTATATAATGATCTATATAATAGAGAAGTAATTTCATATTAAAATCGTGTTATTTATCATATATTTTTTTTATAGTAAAACATAATAACTTTTGATAAAAAAAAATTTATACTCAAAAACGGAATATTTTACGAAATCTCAAATAAAATATTTCAACAATTTTGATTTATTTATTATTTTAGGACTATAACTATTGGTATTAACCAGTGATCTTTTCTAAATTTAATTGTTTTATGATTAAAACGCATGTTTAATTTAAATGAATCAAACCCTAAGAGGGGCAGAGACAAATCAGAGTTATAAATCTTTTACACTGTGGCCACAATCTAATTTTTCAAAGTAACCGCTTATTGCATTGTTTTTATTTTTATATGAGAAGAAGGTATAAGACCGATCTTAGTGTTTTTAATTAAGAGGGCCAACCGGTCAGACTCATTTAGAGGATTTAATCGTACCTCTGTCTGAACCGAATAATAATATTCGTTATTCGAATTAACTTGGCCTGAATTTTAAATAAATCCTCCTAATAAGTCGTACTATTTGCTCGACACGACTAGTTATTAAACACTAACCGAAAATTTTTTATCTTGTTCGTCTTGACTATTTAGAAAAAATATGTAATGTAATTTCTTTAAAAATTGTTAGTCGCAATTATCTATTATACATTTTAAGAATCTGTTATGATGAAATATTTTTCTTTCCGGCCCTAAGAAATAGGTATGTATACCAATTTAGTATATGGTTTACTTTACTTTTTGGGTTTTAGTATATTATTTTATATAAACCAATTAAACATTATATTTTTAATTTTATAATTATTTAGATTTCTAATTGTAATAATTTACGACTAAAGCGTTTACACAATATCATTTATGGTATCATGACAATTTGGCATGGCGACAATTCTGCGCATTTTATTTAATTAAAATAAATATAAAAGCTTTAATACAAAAAGTTTAAAGAAAAATTATTCTCCAAGATTTTGTAATATTTTACCTTGAATTATGATAAATTTGTGAGCCATAGTATATTAATTATATAAAATAAAAATATTTTATTAATATCACCGAAACTAGACATGGGTTATAGGTGTCGTCATGGGTTATTTATATATATATTAGTTAAAATATTGGGCTTTTAGGATTTTCCTCCTATTTCCAAAACTATAGGTTTAAATACTCTGATCCTTTTAAATATAATTGTTATTGAAGAGCTATAAAAAAACTAGACGAAGCAAATTTTACAAATAATTTTAATGTAGGTTTATTCTTCACATTACCGTAGAAAATATAATTAATAAATTAATATAAAAATTTTTTGAAAAATAAAAATTTTAGAAATATGAAAAATACTCGGGGGTGCTTTTAAGCCTTTACCGGTGCTTGTTTTGCATCTCTTTTTTAAAAAATTTTTAATATTTTTTATCGAAAAATCTAAATCAATGAAATTACATTATAAAATATCTTAAATGTACCAGGGACATCTATTTTATATATCACCTGGTACAATTTGTTGCCAGTTAGTATTATAATTTACATTAAAACAAGTTACCATCTTCATATAATTTCGGGCCCTTATAAACTCGTGGCTTCTGGTGTTAGAAACATTTAAAAAAATTTATATGCATGTTTAAAAAATAGGATGCATTATAGAGATAATATTTATAGTGAATGTCATATCATTGTAGTTATTTTTGAAGTAATATAATAGAACTAGTAACTGGAATTACTTATAACTAAACCAGATTATAAATTTGGACACTCTTTTTAGTCAAATGTTAATAGATATATAAAGCGAAAATATCGTTAACTAAGCTACAATATTATTACCTATAATGACCGAAAATATTTCCAGAAGTAGGTGTTTTTAAGGGGCTAGAAATCAGAAGATACTACCAGAACCAATGATTATTGGTTATTATACTCTGGTACTGGGCTAACTTTATTGGATCCTTGGATAATAAGATGTATAAATTATGTTGATTAAATTTCAAGAAATAAAAATAACTAATTTAAGGAACCCTTTAAACAAAAATTATTCTATTCTCTACCCGCTATTAAATTAAATTTTAATTTTTATAAAAATCTCAAAATTATTGATTAATAAAAGAATATTACCGAGAAGCACCAAAATACTTTACCTATTATCGGAAAGAAAGTATAAATAAAGTGTATCATAATGAATACATTGAGCATTTTGTTTAAAGAATCTTAATTTTAAGTTATAGGAGGCTAGCAAGCGCTTTATTTATGTTTTAATTTAAATATATACGTAATTTTTATATATTCTTAATGGCTGGTTAGCTATAAAGTTTAGATGAGTATCGATTTAATAATTTAGTCTTAAAAATTTTGATTCATTATCCTTTTAATATTAAAAAAATATTTGAAAGATTTAATAATATAATTTTTTTAAATGGTTTCTTTTAAAAAATTTTAACGCAACAAGTCCCTTTGGGATATATCAGAAGCGAATATCGAAATAAAATTTATATTTAATTTCGATCTGAATCAAATGTACCAATTATTATGACACTCTTTTTTTATATCATTGGCTAGAGTAATTATGCACATTTGACCGTTAGTAAAAAAATCCATAATATATCATATTTATATTAAAAAACAGACATAATTCATCAGTATTATCATTTATAAGTTATAATTAATTTATAAGATTGAAAGAAGTAGGAATAGGAACAAAAAATTAAGTACCTGTTTAAAAATTTTCATAGCATAATTGTTAGCTAATCATTTTTATTTTTAAGTATAAGTTATAATTGAAAGTTATTGACCCTCATATTTTTGAAATATTTTTCGAATGATTAATTTATAACCTGGCCTGGGCAAAAAATGAAATTCAGAGCGCAGGAAATATTACTTTTTTGGAACACGGGCCTGAAAATGGGTATATATCTGCAGATCTCTAAATATTTGACTATTACATTCTAAGCTAGTGGATTTAAGAATATTGATATAGTTTAATATTTATAGTGGTTATTGTTCAGCAATACACCTTTAATTGAAGAGTTAAAACTTATAAGTAAAAATCAAATCCATATAAATACGGCTGGATTATTTGATGAACAAAAATATAAATAAGAAGGAACAAAAAGTTATAATATGAAATGCATAAATAGGATTCAATTAATTAGCTAAGAATTCTAGTCGGGTTAGCCAGTAAGAGAAATGTAATTTTTTTCTAACTGCTTTATAATTGCAAAATAAATAAAATTTGGAGAAAAATATAACAGATGTCATTAAAATTATCCAAAATTATCTTTTCATGAATTTCCCGATAATTGTAAATATTTTGTCAATCGTCAAGCAAAAAAATAAATAATTGTACTACATAAAATGTCAAAAAATAATTTAATCATTTTAATTGGTATTTTTGTCAGAAAAAATAAACATTGAAAGTGGAAAAAAATTTATTGTAAAAAAAAAATATTTTTTAAAAAAGCGCGAAAGAATTGGAAGTGGTACCGAGTGCCGTGTGTGCGTTAAATCGTTAAATCAACTCATTCTCAATAATCCCATAGGTTAAAATTCTCGATTTTATTTGTTTGTAAATGTTAATTTACCTGTGCTGAAATATAAAAATTTGGACATTTTAATACATTTATATTCATTTATGACTTGAGAAGATTAAAATCTATGTTCATAAATAATAAATTAAGTCATTGAGAATTAATTGATCGAGATTTTGTCATTTTCTATTTATTTTTTTGAAAAGGCAGACATTTTAATTTTTTTTTTTTAAAAAAATGCAGAATTCTCTTTTTTTAAATGTGATAATTATAATAAACTCTCTTTGTATGTTTGCGAATTTTTTTTGTTAAAGACAACTTTTTATAAAATTAAATATAATTAAAAAAACTGATTTGATGAAAAGTTTAGATTCGTCAAATTAAAAATAACTAATGAAAAATAATTTAATTAGATAATTTTATAATAATTAATAATAGTATTTGAAATTACTGTAAAAATTTTTTTAAAAAAGTAAATAAATGAAATATGAAAAAAGACGATTGCAATATTCTGAATGGCAAATCAGCAAATTGCCTTTATAAAATGATATTCGTGAGATGCCTCGAAGTAAAAAATAAAAATATATGCATTTCAAGGCTGCGAACCCGAATCTTCAATCCATTATGATTTTACTGAACCGAACCAAACCCCTTTAAAAAATTTACGTTCCGGTTTTGGTTCTAAGAATTATATAAGACAATTATGAAATTTATTAAAGGGATGATCTTAACATTAATAAATGGAACCATGATTAACACTGAAAATTTTAAACAGCATAGATAGTTTCAAATACTTAGTAAGAATCCATAACCACTCAATATTATGGCCTAAAACAAAAAAATAAGGTTAAGGTTGTCTCCTGGTTCGATTTAATTTTGATACTTAGGAAACAGCTTTTGAACTAGGACCATATTTTGGTTTGTTTCAAGTATTTGGTGGCATTGTTATTTTTCATATTATTTTTTTACTTTTTAAGCTAGTTGAAACTATATAGCTGCTGTTTAGTAATAAGTCAAACCAGGACATGACCTTAAGGATGGATTAGGTGGGATGATGCAATGACAGATTTTGATGGAGGCATATATTGTGAGAATATTAGGGATACAGGGATCATTCGAGCGCTTAAAGGGAAACGTCTATAAAATCAAAATTATACTTGTTAATTTAAAACCAATATCTCATTTTGTTCCAATTATATTTATTTGACTTTGATGGTTATATTCAGGGATCCAAACCGAAACTGAACCGAACCGTTAAACCGCTAAAACCGGTATTTTTTATCGAACCTCAACCAAACCTAAACCGTTAAAAAATTCTAGCCGAACCTGAACGAACCCCTATAATGTCTCTGAACCGGTTCGAGCCTCATGATTTTATATTTATAAAACAATATGCAAGTTATTATTATTAGTATATTGAAAAAATTTCAATTACATTCAAATTATTTTA